AACGTAAGAATTGTTAGAGAAGGCAAATATTAATGTTTTCATCTTGCATATTTCAAGAATTGCTAATATCCATATTTCTATTCAATGCTAACGAACCGCTCACAGGTCGAGTCACATGGGACAGTGCTATCAACAAATTGGAAGGATGTGGGTTCGAAGAAGGTAATAGGAAGCCCTCCGGACGGCATGGAGCTTAAGAAGTGGGAATACTGAAATCTTATTGTAATTTTCATGTTTTGTCACGCTTTGTGTTGCCATCAGTTACTTGGTTGTCTTAATATTTTTGTCCAATAAGGTTCGTATTTCATCTAGATCAGTGGCGGATGCAGAAATTTTGAATTAGTGGGGCACAATCCCGAATATAGGAGATTGGGCTGGGCTGGGCTGTAGCCCAGTCCCCTCCCCAGCCCACTTAATAGTTTTTAGGGCAAAAATAAATAAAAATAAGTAAAAAAAAATTTATGTGTACATTTAATTTTTTTACATGTTAGCCCAGTTTGTAACGTATTAGTTTAACTTGTAGTCCGAACCTAGATACGTCCCTGACAGAATCAAAATTGCAAAAATGTTGTAAAAAACAAAAATAAAAAAAGTTCGATATGCAATAGAATGGTTTAATACTCTAGATCATCAGTATTGAATTTAGACATGAAAAGTAAAATTTTATAAAATGAAAAGAAGTTATACAACTTTGATTATCAAAGACCATTCTCCAATATTTTATTATTTTATTTCCCCAAAGGTCAAATGAAATTTTCTCAATCCAATAAAACACACGGTAGCATATTGACTTTTATGACTTTTTAGTTTATTTGCTCACTACTCTCTCTCTTCTTTCTTTGTTTCATCCTTTACCCTCTCTTTGCACGTTCAGTTCTCTCACTTTCTTTTTACATGATAATTACAGACACAATACAATACACATTTCTTTGAACGACAGTCAAATAATTCAATACCTATATGTTGACTGTCCAAAAATCTTTGTCCAACTCAATTCCTGAATCGTGATATCACCAATCACGGACGGATTCATTATGGGACTTTTTTAAAAAAAAAATACATACACAATACACACAACTAAACACATTTATAGTATGCTATGTCGGTGGAAGAGTGTTCATCAACATAAGAAGAAAAAGAATGGATTTTGATTTTCTAAGGGAAGGGAACTAGGGATGGGTTTCGATTTTTCCATTTGGGCACTGGAGTCTTCTCCTGGATTTTGCTGAAGAAGACTGAAGGCCAAAAGAAAAAAAAAAATCAATTTCTAGAAGTTGTGGGTCACGTGATCCACTAGGACCCACTGTGGGTCCGCCTCTAATCTAGATAATTCCAAAGCAAAATCTTGTTCCATATAGGTATTTGTAAATTTTTGTGTTTTTATATTTAAAGCGATAATGTTTGGTTGAGTAATGTAATTCTTCAGTACTAATCTGACATTAGTTGATTGATCATTTTAAAATAAGACTTGATTGAAATGATATATTAATTAATCATCTAAATATCACATCATCCGTATCATCCTATGATTAAATTGATGAATAAACTTCTTATAATATTTCGTTTACCATACGTTTTGAAATATTGTCTTATAAGTTATCGCCGTTGTTGATAACTCATTTAAACCCAAAAGCCACATATTTAGCCCTTGTTTGAGTCCTATTTTTGTGGAGAAAATGAATTTTTGAATAGTATATTGATGAGAAATGTGTGATTAAAAAATAAGAAATTTTTTTTATTTGCGTATAATATTATTTTATTGAAGAATGTGTGGTTGAAATGTTATCAAATTATTATTGAAAAATGTATTTTGCTGAAAAAATGGGGCTCAAACAAGGGTTTATATTTTAATTGTAATTCATTTAAAACCCAAAAGGATTTAACCTTTATAAAATTAAAACACATTTGGTTCAATCTTTTTCTTTATTTTCACATGTATTATTTTCTTTATGGTGGTTATATTGCCTTTCTAATTTCTTATGAGTGCACAATATTTTAATTGCATAAAAGATTATTTAACTTTTATTTGTTGACTTTTTTCATTGTGTTCTTTTCTTCCGGCCTGTTTGATAGGCTTATTTTTCCATGAAAAATGGAAAAATCCAAATGGTATGTTTGATGGACATAATTTTTCATAGAATTGATTTTCCAATTAACCCCACACATGAACGCATTTTCTTGGTGTTTAAGGAATTGATTTTCCTTTGGTTTTGGTAGAAAAATTGGGTTTTCCAGCTTCTTCTTCCTTTTTTTTTTAAATTTTTTTAACAATAAAAACAAATTTTATCCATTTAATTAACAATTTTCATGAAAAACAAAATCAAATAAACAGCAAAAAATCCAAAATTTCAATATTTTTCAGTTGAAAAATTATACCAATCAAGACATTTATTGGCAATTCCCAGTAAAATAAGTTTTAGACAATTTAATTCTCTGTAACTCTTTTTTTTTTTTTTTTACCAAAATTTCATTCTTACAATCAAATGAACATATGGGGCATGTTCGTTTTGACCGATCCTCCATGGAAAATGGAAAATCCACCTTTTGGCCTGTTTCATTGCAATAATTTTCTTGACAATTTATTTTTCTTCCCACGCTCCTCCCATGTGATCAATTTTCCTTGGTTTTGTGGAAAACCAATTCCCATGGGTTTGGTGCTAATTGGTTTTCCACCTGGTTTTTTTATTTTTTTGGTAATTGGAACAAATTCTATTTTCAATTATAACAAATTATCTCTTTAATTAATAATTATTATGAAAAACAAAAATAAAAAATTTCAACATTTTTCAGGTGAAAAATTATACCAATCAAACACATTTAGCCCTTCTTTGATACCCATTCTTTGGAGAAAATGGATTATTCTACAGTGTTTTGACATAATTTCAATCATACGTTCTTCAATAAAATAACATTACACGCAAATTCAAAACTTTTTCTTATTTTTTTAACCACACATTTTCCATCAATACACTATTCAAAAATTTATTTTTCCCCTCAAAATGGGGCTCAAACAAGGGCTTAATTAACAATTTCCAAGAAAATAAATCGTAGGTAATTCAATCTCCTGAATTTAGTTTTCTTTCTACCCAAATTCGATTTTTACAATCAAATAGACCCTTAGTATATTATCAATTTGTACTTCTTATTTTCGATGATTTTTTTTATCCAAAAATTATTTTAAGATGGCACAAAAAGTATTTTAAATAAGAAAAAAATAATGACAACAAAATTGTGTTTAATATTTTGTTCGTTATTTTGAAGCATGTTAACAGATACTTTGAATGACAATCAGTGTCAGCGATAATATTTACTAATTAACCAAATTATATTGAAATCAAGATCTAGTTCAAATTAAGGACATTTAATGCAATTAAAATGTTGCGTGTATATAATTCTCTTTCTTAAATTCTAATCGTTAAGATATATATCATCAATAATCATATATAAACTTAATAATATTGAGATTGATGTCTAGTTTAAATGGTAAGAGAAAATCTTTACCAGATTAGATACTTGAATTTGAGTTTTATTTGTAGTTGCAGGGTGGAGTTGGGAAGGGTGAAAAATAAAATAAAATGAAACTTAATAATATTATGGGGAAATTAAACTATAGCTCCCTAACCTATTTCTTGGTAACAAGTTGGTTTCTAGACATTCGTTATGGTTGCAGTATTAGTCCAACGTTTAAAACAATCAAAATAATTATGTGACATTATGAAAACATGACTCCCTTCAAATTTATAGGTACCGGTTTATTTTAGTAAGATATTTTATGGGACTCACAACATTTATCTATTTTACACATTTCATAAGATTCATAACTTATTAATATCTTAATTACAAATTTCATTAACTTATAAAATATACTAAAAATCTAGCTACATCAAAATGGGGCAGACCACTAATTTTTTTGTTTTTTTTTTGTTTTTATCATGTAAATAAATTTATATAGATCAAAATTGGTTACATATACTCCGGGCATTCCCGAGCAATCAAAGATGAAGCATAATTACACAACTAATTTCAGCAAAATTAAAAAATCAGCCATATTCTCACCTTCGGGTTTCCTTGCCTTGATGGCCAGGACCTTATACAGGCTGGCATGGGATGAGAATCAGCTTACTTTGCCCCCCCAGGGCACATTCGAGTTGGTGGATCAATCACCTTTGGCGCGCTCGCAACCTTAGCGTGGAGAGTTCGATTCCTGGTGGGAACTTGTGATTCAATAAAGGGGCAATTTATTGGTGGATCAATCACTACGGAAGAAAGCTCTCTTGAGGCCAGGAGTTTAGACCGGGTGAGAACCTGTGATTCAACAAGGGCACAACCTGCGGTTTACCTCCGCTAGTTACTGAGGGGCCGGTGGCTAGGGGTTCAGAATTTAGTCTGGCGAAGATGGGACACTTGGGTATCAAAAAAAAAAAAAAAAAAAGAATCAGCTTACTTTTCTTGCCAATATCTACTTTTGGTGAAAATTTTCCTTTGATTTCTGCTGATTTGGTAAGAATGACTTGCTGCATGAGTATTGGTTTAGGTGACCCAATAACAGGAGCTTATTACTTTGTGCCGTATGGATTGGTAGGTATACAGCAAGTTGGAGGCTATTTTTTGAAAATGTATTTTGATGAAGAAAATATTTTGAATGTGTGGTTAAAAAAAAATGTATTTTAAAAAAATGAGAATCAAATAAAGTTATGGAAATGATCTCTATACCATCCACGGTTGACGTGGCAAAGTCTATAATTTTTTAAATTATAATTCAACGTTGAATTGTAAAAAATTATGAACTTCAACTACTCACGTAGAGTGAGATCCGTGCGGGACTCATTAAGTGAATAAAAAAAGTCAAAAAAATTCCTGCCCATAGCAGGGTTGGTGAGTACGAAATCATTTCTGCAGTAGTGCTAGAAATCCAAGGCACACCAGGGCGCCTCGCTATTGGAGAGGGCTGTCAGCGGATGAGAGGATTATGAAAACCGCCACTGGCCAAATAAAAAGAGCGCCACCCTATTAGTAGCCTCCCTCGAGTAGGGGGGGCGCCTGCTTTTTGGATTATTCCTCATTTCTCTTTTTTTTTTTTTTTTAAAGAGTTGTCCCAACTTGTGTCAAACTATATTTTCGTCCCTGAACCTCCGACCTCTCAGCTGTTTAGGGAGGTAAATCGCAGGATGTGCCCTTGTTGGTTCTCAGGTTCCCACATGACTTTTCCTCCTTCCCCAAAAGGAGCCTCCTCATGATTAATACACCAATAATTATTATTCCTCATTTCTGAAGGGGACGAGGAGGTTATTAAACTTTTGGAAGCTAAAGCTTGCTTGGAGTCTCTCTCACTCGCGGAATGGAAACTATCGTTCTTTATCCGTCCCCGGGCATGGGGCATCTGATTTCCATGGTGGAGCTCGGGAAGTTCATACTCAAGCACCATCCTTCCTTCACCATTGTAATCCTCACAGTTCCTCCATCATTCAACACTGGATCGACCGCATCCTATATCGATCGAGTTTCTGCTGCCACCAAGTCTATCACCTTCCACCAATTACCATCTGTTCCGCTTGAACTCGACTCTTTCTCCTCCATGGAAGCTGTTATTTTAGAGTCCATTCGCCTAAGCAACCCTCATGTTCACCAAGCCCTTCAACACATCTCTCTCACCACCACCATCACCGCCCTCATAATCGACTTCTTTTGTACCCCGGCTTTCTCCATTTCCACCAAACTCGGAATCCCAACGTATTTTTTTTGTACTTCAGGCGCCGCTTCTCTCGCGTTTACCCTTTACTTGCCCACAATACATCGGAACACCATTAAAAGTTTCAAAGACCTGAACTCAATTGTTCATGTTCCTGGCTTACCGCCAATACCATCGACGGATGTGGCAAAACCGATGCTTGATCGAGCCTCGACTGAATATGCAAGCTTTTTAGAATTCTCTCTCCATTTGCCAAAGTCAGCTGGATTTATTGTAAACTCATTCGACTCCCTCGAACCAAAAACTCTTAAAGCATTATCTGAAGGATCTTGCTATCCTGATGGCGATACACCTCCTGTTTTTTGTGTAGGACCATTGTTGGCGTCCGAAGATCGACGAGGTGTAACTGATGATGTGCATGAATGTTTGAAATGGCTCGATTCTCAGCCTAGCCAAAGTGTCGTATTCTTGTGTTTTGGGAGTCTTGGTTTGTTTTCAGACAAGCAGTTGAAAGAAATAGCAATTGGGTTGGAGAGAAGTAAGCAGAGGTTCTTGTGGGTGATCCGCTCTCCACCCTCTGAGGACAAGAGCAAGCGCTATCTACCTCCTCCCGAACCGGATTTGGATTTTCTTCTTCCTATTGGATTCTTAGATCGGACAGAGGACCTGGGTTTCGTGGTGAAGTCGTGGGCACCACAAGTGGAGGTGTTGAATCATAAATCTGTTGGAGGGTTTGTGACTCATTGTGGGTGGAACTCGATATTGGAAGCAGTTTGCGCGGGCGTCCCCATGGTGGCTTGGCCTCTTTATGCTGAACAAAAGTTCAACAGGGTGGTGCTAGTGGAAGATTTGAAATTGGCTCTGCGAATTAACGAAGCCGAGGATGGGTTTGTCACTGCTGAGGAGGTCGAGAGTCGAGTGAGAGAGATGATGGACTCAGACACAGGTGAGTCGCTCCGGAAGCGCGCCAAAGAAAAGGAGGCGGAGGCAAAGGCAGCGACAAGTGAAGGTGGTTCCTCCACTGTTGCCCTGGACAAGTTAATCAAGTCATGGAAACTGGATTGATTATCGATACAACGATGCCTGAAACTGTCCAACGACTGAGTTCTTGAATTTCCAATCTTGCAAGATTATTGTGCTGTGTAAGTATGTTCATGCTCCATTAAAGCATGTGAAATGTGTTTGTGATATGTTTTAAAAACCTTTCTTGGTAATGTTTTTCTTTAAAGTCGAATCTTTTGTTGTGTAGAAAAGAATTATATTTATTAATCAGTGCCACATATAAAATCTTCCATGGTTTATTTGAACCTGAAATTATTTATCCAGGGTCGAACATTTTATGCCTGTTATCTGGATCAGAAATGCAGTGAATTGGACCAATTTTTTTGTATTATGCCAGTGGGGCAGGTGACAGGGTTTAGAGACGGAGATTGCGGGACAGTAGTCGGTTGATGCTTTATATATATATACATAAATTGTTCAATTGGTGTTTGACATGTGTCCTCTTGTTTAAAAATCTTGTTCCCAGCCCTATTTATGTAGCATATCTCAAATTTTTCTCCATAAAAGGGAAAAACAGAATGCTTTTTTACTATGGACAAGTTGCTTTTGAATTGACAAATATGAATCTGTATCTCTCTTTGTGCCATATAGCAATTATGAAAGAAACTTCAATAGGGCGGTTGCACTGCCACATGTGGTACGACCGTCCTATTAGGTTGAGCCACCTCGACGGGTGACCTCTTGTTTAAAAACCTTGTTCCCAACCCCATTTATGTAGCATATCTCAATTTTTCCCCATAAAAGGGAAAAACATAATGCTTTTTTACTACGGACAAGTTGCTCTTGAATTGACAAATATGAATCCATATCCCTCTTCGTGCCATATAGCAATTATGAAAGAAACTTCAATAGGGCGGTCACACTGCCACATGTGGTACGAACGTCCTATTAGGTTGAGCCACCTTGGCTGGTGGCTTTCCACACACCCCCGAGGTGTGTGGGTCACCCGTTGAAGTGGCATCTCGACATTGGGTTGGTGCACCCACCTTACTGAAGATTCTCTCAACAATTATCCAGCAATAGTTGTCCCGGTATATGTTTATATGTTAAGCAATTTTGAAATACCTACCTGAACCTTTCACTCTGATTGCCCTAATTATGGTCCAGCCTTTTGGTTTATTTACTTTTTGTAGAAATTAGGTTGCTGAATTTTGTGAAGCCCAAAATATGTGGGCTGTATGCGATCGATTCTATTATAAATGTGGCCGAAATTGATGATCCAATAAGATGAAGAATCCAGTATTATGGTAAAAACGTTTTTGTTAAACATGCCTTTTAATTGAAAATGCAT